TCGGTCCGCAGCTGCTGGAGGGCTCCTCGCCTCGGCCGAGGATGCGTGAGGGCTGCGGGCTGGCAGCGCGCTGCGGGCAGCCTGTCCCGCGCCTCGGGAAGGGGGTGCTCCCGCCTGGAGCCGCACATCCCTGCCAAGTAACGTGCACTGGTTTGTTTGGCGTTTCATCAGTCTTTTCGTCTTGTTCTGTACATTGTAATTTAAATATATTTATAGATTCGAATAAATGAGATTATTGGTAAAGGTGTCAGACGCTGAAGTGCACCGAAGTCCAGAGTCTCCTTATTTTCTTTCTGTTTTAGAGCGACTCTTCATTCCATCCTTTCTGGAATGGAGATTTCTTCTCACCAGTTTCACCTCCTGGAGCAACTGAATGAGCAGCGCAGGCAGGACTTGTTCTGTGACTGCAATATCCTGGTGGAGGGCAAGGTCTTCAAGGCCCATCGCAATGTGCTGTTTGCCAGCAGCGGGTACTTCAAAATGCTCCTCTCACAGAGCTCGAAGGAGACCACTCAGCCAACAACAGCTACTTTCCAGGCATTTTCTCCTGACACCTTTACAGTTATTCTAGATTTTGTGTATTCAGGCAAACTGTCCCTCACTGGTCAGAATGTGATCGAGGTGATGTCAGCTGCCAGCTACCTGCAGATGACCGATGTGATCAGCGTGTGTAAAACCTTCATCAAGTCATCTCTGGACATCAGTGAGAAGGAGAAGGATCGGTACTTCAGCCTGTCAGACAAGGATGTGAATTCCAACGGCGTGGAGCGATCCTGCCTGTACGGAGCTGGCTGGAGGGCAGAGACCAGCCCCCCCCATTCACACCTAAGTCCAGACCAAGGGACATGTATGATGGGTGGAAATGCTTGGAGCAATTTCAGCTACTATCCGAGCTCTCAAAGAAATGCCCAGCAGCAGCTGCCCAAACACGAGCAACGGCAGGATTCCATGAAGAAATCCAGGCACCTGGGACTGCAACAGCCTTCTGACATTCCTCACTATAAATCAAGCAAACTAGAGGAGAGGGCTGCTGAGCCTGCTGGCCACATTGCTCCAGCTGAGGAGCAGGTTCAGATTGACACAGAGGTGGGATCTCCTCACGTGGGGTACCAGTACAGCCAAGGGGCTGAGGTGATCCCGAGGAGCTTGGCTGTGTCACAGCAGGAGCATGAATCGCCCCGATCTTCTAGTAAATCCAAGTCTTCAAAAGCAGAGGAGCAGTACACCAGCATGCCCTCCATCCTGGGTGTCATGGGAAGCTGGGCTGAAGGTAAGAGGTGCAGTGATTTGTTAATCATTTGTCCAGGAGAAAATGTCCTTTACTGAAGGGGTGTACAATTGCCCAAAAGACTTCTGTATTGTCCAGAAATGTGAGTTTGGAAAGTTTTAGCTGTTATTTTTTTAATAATTGTGAATGATTGAAGTACCTGGTTTATTAAAACTAGCCTGTCAAAATACATAACCTTTAGTGTCTCTCCAGCTTCATCTTGCAAATTTAAGGTGTGATCTTTTGGGATATTTATAAGCTCATTTTCATACAGCTTACAGTCAACTCCTTCTCCTTTGCTGCACTCCTGTGTAGTTTGCAGGAAAACACAAACCTTTGTGCTTGAAAAGACCCGTGATCTTTTTTCTTTATTTTTTTTTTTTTTAGATAAAAGTGATTTGCTGTTCTGCTCTCAGAGTGCCTTTTCCTAGAGCATTACATGACCAGCAATGTTACAACTTCAATGTTTTCAATCACACTGTTTTCTAACAGATGAGCTGCCCAGGATGAGGTTCAAGTGCCCCTTCTGCACTCACGTGGTGAAAAGGAAAGCAGACCTGAAGCGACACCTTCGCTGTCACACAGGAGAGCGCCCTTACCCTTGTGAGGCTTGTGGGAAAAGATTCGGCAGGCTAGATCACCTCAGTAGCCATTTTCGAACAGTAGGTATTTTTAGTAACTGCACAATATTATTTTTTTAATGGTTCAATCTGTCTCAGCCAGAATGAAACACAGCACAGGTGTATCTGTGCTTGAGTCCGGTAAAAAAAACCCAAGAGGTCATGGAAAATGAATCTGTTTTTTTGTTTAAGTTAATTTGAAGTGTAACTTGTATGAAAGGGGATGAATTTCTGTGTTAATTGGTGGCTTGCAAAGGTGCTGCTCCATGCAAGGCCTGTGGCAGAGCTGAAGTGGCAGTGCCTGTGCCTGTTTCATTTGTAACACTTGATGACTGCCCCTTGGAATGAGTTTAACGCTGCCATTTGACTCTACTCCAGCCCTGATTTTGTCATCTTAAAACCCCCTTCTTTGTGCATACATTATCAAAGGTATTCCTTCTGATTTTCCCAGATTCACCAGGCTTGCAAGCCTATCTGCAGGAAGTGTAAACGCCATGTGACGGAGCTGACGGGACAAGTGGTCCAGGAGGGGACAAGGCGTTACAGACTCTGTAACGAGTGCTTGGCTGAGGCTGGCATAGACAGTATTCGCATTGACTTGGAGGCTGAAGCACCCCTCGAGTTCCCACAGGATGGGGATAAGGATTCCAGGTGGCACTATGGGGAAGACAACAGATCAGATGTGGAGATTGTGGAGGATGGGTCAACCGACTTGGTCATCCAGCAAGTGGATGACAGTGAGGATGAAGCAGATGAGAAGGAAGTAAAACCAAATATTAGGTAGTTGCAAGACAGGGATTGGGAATTCTGTGTAAGAGGAGAAGGTACTGCCTGGCCATGAGCCCTCCACCAGCCTGTTGCCAGCCTACAGGGACAATCTGGTTTCTCTTGAACAGGTCCAGACTTGCACATAGTGATGGACATGCCATGGAGTCCTTTCTGAGTTCTGTTCCCAGAATACCCGTATTTGCTTCACTGGAAATAATCCATCCTTGAAGAAGATAATGGATGAAGAAGGAAACTCCAATACTACATGGGATCCCTTTTTATAGCAGACAATGGGTCACTTCTCAAAACCCCTTTCAAGGGAGCAAGGCCTAAGGACTTTTTTTTTTAAGCTACATAAATTGCCCACTTTTTAAACTTGTAGAGATGTGGGGATTATATGTAATAGTGTCTGATGATAAAGTATAAACACCCCAACACACCAGAATATAAAGGAAACCTCTCTTCAGTATTCAGAAATGAAGAAAATCTTCCATGAAATGTCATGAAGCCTTCATATTATAAGGAAAAAAAGGCAGCTAATTAAGAAAAAAAGCATATGAAAATGTTTGGCTGGAAAAGCACTTTCTTGTAGAATGTATTAGAATAAGGAGAATCTTTAGCAGCTCATTCATTCAAGACCTATTTCTTTACAAGAAAATAAACACATGGGTGGTAGTCCTAGTCAACACATCTGAGGTGAAATGGTCACAGAATTAATTGATGCTAGTAGATGTTGTATTCATTCTGAAAACTGGGAACTCAGACTGGGCTGTGTTTTAATAAGCACTGGTAAAATACAATATTTTTTTTTTTTATAAAAAAACCTCTCAAAAGTGCCGGACTGAGATGCCTGGTAGCCCTTCATCCACAGCATTGGCAGTGGCAGCTTCTCCAGGCCAGGGTGAAGCAACCAGTCCTTCCAAGGTTACTGTAGCTGTTGTTTTCTCTTTTTGTCCCCTGTTTGATTTGCCAATAGCAGAACAATTTGTACAGTATATATATTATATCATTAGAAATGGAACTGATGAGATTTTCCATCTGGAACTATTGACTAGTCTTGTTTGTATTGACCTGTACTGAGTGGAAACTGATGAGTTTTAAGATGGAGTAATTCTCAATTTAGATATTTCCCAATTCATTTGGTCACCAAGAGAACATACTTGCACCTATTTCAGTCTGTACTATATGCCAGAGAGAACAAGATGTACTGGAAGTTCTAGACATCATCTTTGTGTCGGACTGAGATGCCTGGTAGCCCTTCATCCACAGCATTGGCAGTGGCAGCTTCTCCAGGCCAGGGTGAAGCAACCAGTCCTTCCAAGGTTACTGTAGCTGTTGTTTTCTCTTTTTGTCCCCTGTTTGATTTGCCAATAGCAGAACAATTTGTACAGTATATATATTATATCATTAGAAATGGAACTGATGAGATTTTCCATCTGGAACTATTGACTAGTCTTGTTTGTATTGACCTGTACTGAGTGGAAACTGATGAGTTTTAAGATGGAGTAATTCTCAATTTAGATATTTCCCAATTCATTTGGTCACCAAGAGAACATACTTGCACCTATTTCAGTCTGTACTATATGCCAGAGAGAACAAGATGTACTGGAAGTTCTAGACATCATCTTTGTGTGATTTTACCAACAATTAGACTACAAGAGATGAGCTGACTAAGGGTAAAGAAACTTTACTTCCATAACAAAATAAGCCACTTGGTTTTGTTACTGAATGAGTTTATCTTAACCAGCTCAGCAAAGAGGAGAGGAGCAGAGGGATGCTTGTACTCTGCATCTTTTGGACAGACCTGAGTATTAATACAGCATCCTGTGATCATTGAACTCCATGGGTACAGGCTTTAGAAAACCTTGTTTTTTTTCTTTTTTACAACTTTGTAGCATGTTTGGCTGAAACCTGGGCTTAATTACAGAGCAATCCCATATATCTATAGAATATATAATCTCTTTCCCAGGGATAGCTAAGAAGTCACTATTTTTATTTGTGTAAAAACTGTATAGCCTTAGTGTCATTACCAGAGGGTGCAGCATTTTCCCTCCAGATGACCAGCCTGCAGGTCTCTCCAGTGACAGCTCCAGTTCTTCCTAATTTAACAGTGTAGGTATCAAAACATCCTTCCCCTCAAACTTGCTGGGCTGTCAGGAAGCAGCTTGCAACTTCTCAGGAGATGAGAAGTGGTACTTTACCAAAATTATTGTCCATTGGCTTAGAGGGGGGCTGGAAAGGGGGGAACTTAGAAAACTTCCTGATGACCCATATGAAAACATCTTTTTCCAAGAAAGACTTGCCTCGATTTTGTTACACTTTGGTCAGCAGTTCACAAAATGGCTTGAGGGGAGAGGGGTTGGAAAGGGGGGAACTTAGAAAACTTCCTCATGACCCATATGAAAACATATTTTTCCAAGAAAGACTTGCCTCGATTTTATGTTACACTTTGGTCAGCAGTTCACAAAATGGACTTGAGGTGCAAACAGCTGGTTAATTTCTTGGAGCTTATTACTTCTAGAATGCGTATTATTAAATGGCTAAGAAATATTTCTGAGCAACCTTAACTAAATCAAATGTAGAACAAAGAAATACATGAAAGAAAATGGAATGACTGTGATCAAATTTCAAGGGAAAATGCTTGCTGAAATCAAATTTGAAGAGATTTTTCCATTTCCCTTTACATTAAACAGAATGCACAATAAATTCTAGATCTTGGTGCCTGCTGTCCTGGAATACAAAGGCTGGCATTAGTCTGTGTGTGTGTTTTGGGGTGGATTGAGGGGAAGGGAAAACAAGTGTCACTCCAGGCCTGAAATCTTAAGTGCTAACTGTAAAGGTGAGACTTTTAAGTGTGTCTGTATCCCTGGGGGTGTTTTGAGGAGCAAAGGGATTTTTGGATCAATGCTCTAATTAGGTACTGTAAATCTAGGCATACTGATGACCAGATGCTTCAGAAAAAGATGTGACTATAATGGACAAATAGAACAATCTGTCCATTTAGACATATATTAAAAAATATAGGCAGATGAACTGTTGATTTGCCTGGTAAACAAGGGGTTTTACTCTTTTTATATATTATTGTTATTCTCAGTAGCATAACTAGATATCTGTAGCCATTTTTAAAGTATCTTGTTAAGCTTGGAATTGTAGCTCAAGGCTTCAATTCCCACAGGTCAGTTACGTTTTGTATTTTTAAAATCTTATCATTTTTACATGTGTTGCCTTAATTTCAGTTGTTGTTCCCTTATTTTTGTATTGCAAGACAAGATAAATGTTAAGTGCCTTATATTTTCTACGTCCTTCATTTCACATAGCCAGTCATCTATATTTTGCTTGGTTTTCTCGAAATGCAAGCAATCCTGTTTGTTTTCTTTCCACCCCCTTGCATTGCATCTGATGACTGTCTTCTTCAATCTCCTGTTTGGATCACATCCCACTCATTCGCAGGACATTTTGGTTCTTTTCACAGGGAGGAAAGCAGAAGCTTGGCTAGACAAAGCCATGGCTCATCTGGTCTTGCTGCTGGCCTTTTTCCTGTGGGAGGTGGGACTAGAGACATTCACAGCTCCCCTGTGACCAACAGTTCTGTGATTCCCCTCAAACAGTTTCATTTTTTATTAAAAAATTACATTGTCCTTGCACTTCTTTCATCATCTCTGTGTTGCTTTGAATGCTCCTTAGCGCTACTTTTTAATGTATCTTCTGATCGTTCACTAGTTTTCAATGCATCATTGTCTTGTGATTTGCTTTTCCACTCCCCTTTTCATCTGACTCCCCCGGAGGGATGTGCAACTAAGAGACATTCTCCGTTTGCATCTCTACTTTCTGTGCAATCCCAGTGTCTGTCCTTTTTTTCCCCTTGTCTGTCCTTAGTCCTCTTTTTGCTGGGCTTGTGTCCATGATTGTAGCACAGTCAAGAGTGAAGACCAAGTTTCCTCATCCTGTTTCATGTCTCACCTTTAACTAGTCTTATGTTCTGGCAACTATCTTGCCATGCTTTCAAAGGCTGAAACACCGAGTTAAAAAAACATTTCTCTTATCCCCTTTTCAGCTGTTTATTCTAGAATTCCACCTGCCACATAAACCAATTACTTGTGTGATAATTTATTGTTTTTATCCTTCATATCATATCCTTTTTGTTTGTTTGTTTTCCATGAAATGATGTAAACTTCTGTACTTACTATCCCAAAAAATGATACTTGTCCTTTATCTTAAAGGTTCAGCTGTGGGTTTTTTTGTTTTGCTTTGTTTTCCAAATGTAATACAAAAGGAACCCCAGACTCCAAAACACAACTTCTGAATGAATCTCCCTTTCCAACCTTTTAGTATGTTTTGGTTCTAAAGAACTGAGATGGAGTGGGGGGGTGGGGTGGGGGAAAGGCAAAAACATGTAATGTGAGCTTTGAAAATGTCTGCAAAATACCTGGTGGAGGACTGACTACATGTATCATCCCTCCCTCACTCCTGGCTCTTCAGAAGGAATACTCCATCCTCCAGGATTTTGGGACACCTCTCAATTTTTCTATAACATAGGGAAAAAAAATATAATCTCTGGATATGAAATTGTGGTGGAATATACTACATTTCTTCCCTGAAGCATCTGGTCACTGTGGGAAGTTATCCCATTACCAAGCCATGTCTACCTTTCTTATATTTTGGTCTCTTAGTCTGAAGAGTTTGAAGTTGGTCTTGAAGTTCAGACAGCCCACAAATACCTCTGCATCTTCAGCCCCATTTATAACTTAAAAGGACCTTGATTCAGCTGAAAAAAAAACCCTGAAGGAGTGGCAGGAAAAATATTTCAGTATCTTGGCTGAGCTGTTGCTCTGTCACTCCAACCTGGCACTTGTTAATCTGCACATGAGAACTGTTCTTTTACCGCGGGGAGGAGTCAAAGTGACCTGCACAGGATCCTTCTCCTAATTACACAAATGATCTCGAGAAAGAAGATGGAAAGTGTCTGCTATCGGGCATCCTGATATGATTTTCTTTTTCCACACGGAAGAGAGGGAAAAAGGGACAATCCATCGTGCTGCACTTGCAGTACTTCGGGTTTGGATTATCCCCATTGTCTTGACTACAAAACTTCCCTGTTATAAAATTGCTGCTGAGTAACATAATACATCCTGCGCTGCAGAACTAGAAGTATTTTTCATTCAGGTGGTGCCTTCCGGATATCCAGAGTGGCCTTGCACGATAGCGATGCATTGTCTGTGGAAGGCAGAGGAGCCTCCCGGGCGGCATGTGGGTGTGGGAAGAGGCAGCGGCCGCGGCTGC